TTCACTGAAATTGTACATATGTGCACAGAAAATTGAAAACAATTTATTTTTAATTTAAATTTCCTGTATTACCTACACGTACATTTAGCAATGAAATCTATCATGTTTTGACAGCGGTTGACTTGCTGGTAATTCCTCTGTCCCATCAGTGAATCTCAGGGTTCTTTAAACTCAGTCTTGAACATTTAAAGTTGTATGTCAAATTAATGTTTAATACTGACAACACAGTTCACTTACTTTCCTGTATTGAGCCGCAGTCATCCCAGCACACAAGTTAAGGTAGCCAGATGGATCAACGAACACAACATCAAACCTGGAATGAAAATCTGCCTTGGAAGGCTGTAAGAACAACAAAATAAAGAAACACTTTTTTAACTTTGTAGTGGTGGTGACGATTGCACATGTTATTGACTCTGAGAGCTTTGCTGGTTGGGGCCTCAGTCCCTGGGGGTCTGGCCTACAGGAGTTTCCCGGATTGACTAAGGGGTGTTGGCAACCGGGAACGAGTATTATGTGACAAAGCAATGCAAGTGGAAAATTAGGGCAAAGAAAGATTAGGGAAGATTAGGGCAAACTGTGAGTGAAGCTGTGAAGTTGAATGAAATCAGTGACTATTTATTATGGATATCAGAACCCAAACTGTAAGGGAATTCACAAGACTAAAGGGGCAAAGGTCCTGGTCTTCCCAGCTCAAGCCTGGAGGGTAAGTAATGGGCTAGTCTTCCAACCCTGTAAAACATAATTGATTGCAAAAACCTTGAGCACGAGGACTGATACATGTATACTGTGCCATTTTGTGGCATGAAGAAGAAAGCCAATGATGAAATGACAGTCAGTCCAAAACAACATTTATCTGACATTTTTAAAAACCTCTTTAGAACCTCTAACTGCTTTACTGTGCACTGTCCTGAGAAAATACTGAGCAAGTACATATATGTTAAACCTAAAAAACGAAAGCCAACTGGGAGCTGGTCATGTTCCCAGCTCCCAGTTGGCTTGATACATGTAGCTCAGTTGGTAGAGCACTGCACTGGTATTGTAGAAGTCACTGGTTTGAATCCCGCTCAAGACTGATAGTTTTTTTCAGGCTTTAATTTCACAACTGCTTAAAAAGTTGTGTATATAACTGTGATGATCAGTCATGTCTTCATATGTAGTGGAACCCTGTTAATCTGACAGTCAGCATGCCACAAAAATCTGGTAGTACATGTATCAAAGGCATTAGGCTTGTTACCTAAATATTACGTATTTATGTCTCATAAACCAAGCGCAGGGCCACACTGGGGAAAAAATCATCCTCGCTGCTTTAAACAACAGACAATCTCACTGTAGGGTTGGTTTCTACTGTTTTATCTAATGTATGTACAACAGTGGTGCTGGAGTAAACAATGTCTTGTGTACAGATGCAAGGGCTAGTATTTAATAAATAATTCAAATCTACANAGCACGAGGACTGATACATGTTAACTTACATGTATACTGTGCCATTTTGTGGCATGAAGAAGAAAGCCAATGATGAAATGACAGTCAGTCCAACACAACATTTATCTGACATTTTAAAAACCTCTTTAGAACCTCTAACTGCTTTACTGTGCACTGTCCTGAGAAAATAGAGCAAGTACATATATGTTAAACCTAAAAAAAGAAAGCTAACTGGGAGCTGGTCACGTTCTCAGCTCCCAGTTGGCTTGATACATGTAGCTCAGTTGATGGAGCACTGCACTGGTATTGTAGAAGTCACTGGTTCGAATCCCGCTCAAGACTGATAGCTTTTTTCAGGCTTTAATTTCACAACTGCTTAAAAAGTTGTGTATATAACTGTGATGATCAATCATGTCTTCATATATAGTGGAACCCTATTAATCTGACAGTCAGCATGCCACAAAAACCTGGTAGTACATGTATCAAAGGCATTAGGCTTGTTACCTAAATATTACGTATTTATGTCTCATAAACCAANGAAAATACTGAGCAAGTACATATATGTTAAACCTAAAAAACGAAAGCCAACTGGGAGCTGGTCATGTTCCCAGCTCCCAGTTGGCTTGATACATGTAGCTCAGTTGGTAGAGCACTGCACCGGTATTGTAGAAGTCACTGGTTCGGATCCCACTCAAGACTGATAGTTTTTGTCAGGCTTTAATTTCACAACTGCTTAAAAAGTTGTGTATATAACTGCAATGATCAATCATGTCTTCATATGTAGTGGAACCCTGTTAATCTGACAGTCAGCATGCCACAAAAATCTGGTAGCACATGTATCAAAGGCATTAGGCTTGTTACCTAAATATTAAGTATTTATGTCTCATAAACAGGGCACAGGGCCACACTGGGGAAAAAATCGTCCTTGCTGCATTAAACAACATACAATCTAACTGTACGGTGGGTTTCTACTGTTTTATCTAATGTATGTACAACAGTGGTGCTGGAGTAAACAATGTCTTGTCAAACAATTCAAATCTACAGAATCAGCTTACCACATTCCCTTCTTCAATGTCTTCTCTGGTCATCATTATTCCTTCTTTAGTCCAGTCAGTGGATCCTAACATGATTTTAATGAGCATTTTAGAAATAACAAATAATTATGAATTATTAGTTTCAGTGTTGTCATCTCTGTCAGACAGATTACAACATCTAGCTATTAAATATCTGGCAATTTTTTCAGGGGATCCCAAATGTATTAAGCACCACTGTGGAAACTCTCCTTTCTTTGTCTTAGTGGACTTAAAG